TATTAGAAATATAGAGTTCCTTGCATCTTTTATTTATTTTAAAAATCAAACTATTGGACAAGTATAAACAAAGGTGAGACAAATTGGTCGTATCAAAATGTCAACTGTAGTTGGTGTTGTTTGGTAGTTGGTTCCACTCATGGTGAACCATTTCCATATAATAGTTTCCTAACACAAATTGGTATAAAACAATATAGTATAAAACCGAACCAAACCAATCTTAGGTTCAATTTACCATTGTTTTCTATGAAATTTCCTTTACAATATTGAATATTTTATAGAAAAAACTTGGTTAAGTGGCAGGGAAGAAAGATAGAAGGTTCATTTTCTAATCATTTAGTTTGATAATGACAACAATTGTGAAAAGTCGTTGCTTCTACTCTATATATATACTTCATTTCATTCATCTTCATCTATGGAGGCAATCAAACAAAATCTGTTTTCTCAAAATGGCCTTAAAATCACGATATTTCCTTGGTATTTTCTCTTATAATTGATGCCACTATTGCTCGTTTGAAAGTTGAGGCTGCAAGAAGACCAATTTGGAGAGGCAAACTTTGACAAGGTGAAGTGTTATTTTTTATACTTTATTGACAAGGTATCAAGATATTCTTATAGACCCACGCTATGAAGGCCAATTTGTCTTTATGATTAACTTGTGCCTGAAGTTGTTGTTTCGAATACTAATCGACCTTTACAACTTCATGCATGAATTACTCATGGGACACATTGGCCAACAAAGCTTGGGACTATTAGAATTTCTTGATTCCCTGTTAATCAAGTATTAGAAGCACAACTTCACCAAATGCATATATGCTTCAGTGGAACAATTGGTAGTCATGATTATTTTACTTTCACAGCTTTAATTCTGATTCTTACGACTTTTTCTGTTTTGTTTTTATCAAATAACATATTTATACTTTCAACTCACAATCAAATTATGTTGTTGTTTGGGATGCAACATGAAGAAGTTACATCCATAGGCGATGCGGAAAGGAAAGTTTTTGATATA